AGGGGAAAAAATAGCTTGAGCCTTTGTTTTGCTTCCTTTGATGTTAAAGGCGGCCTGACCATGGTTGTTTTATTTTAACTTTTAAATAAAAGTTATGGTTATGCTGATTTTATTGTCTTTCTGGCCATGAAAAATTCTATGATGGTGGCAGAACTAGTGAAATGTCATAACAAGAGTTAGAAGAGTGAAAGATGAGTGTCTGAGGAGGAGAAGGGATTTGTAATCAGATTGATTAATGTTCTTCAGGTCAAATCCTTGGCCCCATTCTAGCCCCTTTATACTACTCTAAAATTTGCCAGGGACCAGGCTGGTTCCTAGCTGACCCCAAATTCCAGGGGCCACAAAGGTGGCATACAATCCTTGACTCTTTTCCCACTGAGGGCCTCAGCCTCCATCAGCATAGAGAACAACAGAATGGGATCAAGAATAGAAGCATGGATCCTGTTAGGCAAGGCAGATCACCACTAATTTGGGCCACCGAGAAAAGCCTGTAAACTACATTTTAAAATCAAGAATTCTCAGTGAGTTCGGACTGCGTGTGAATGTTTAACCAAGAAATAGGAGATGTGATTTGAAAATCACTTCTTTTGGCCAGGCATCCACCACTGATTCTCACCTTACCCTTCAAACTCCAATACAATACACACAGTCACACATTTTAATTTAAGGAGGTTGAACAAGTGCTAACAAACTGCATATACAACATAAATCTTTCACTACCGTATCCCTCATCAGCCCATACCCTCTCCTTAGTTTGTAATCCCACGCTGAATTAAATCTAATGTAGCTTCTATGGGCCAAATTCAGCTCTCAGCTATATTTATGTAAATTTTGGATAATTCCTTTGAGCCCCTCAGGGAACAGACATTTTATTTGACTATCAAGCTCCATAGCACTGTATAAATACAGCTAATGAAGATAGGGATTCACTATAGTAATTAAGATGTTAGCCAGCATTCTATCTGTAATAATAAATAATAAGTCAATAGGTAATTACTAATAAGTCTGTTGGAGTGGACATTTGGTTTATGGTAATGGCACTGTATTGGGATTCAGGAGTTCTATTTCTGGCTATGCCAGACTTCATATATGACCTTCAGCAAGTCACAGGTTCTCCGTGCCTCAATTCCCCAGCTCAAAAACAGGAATAATGATATTTTGCTACCCACAGGGATGTTGTGTGTATAAATTCATTAATGTCTGAGGTGTTCAGATACAAAAGTGAAGAGACCATAGAAAGCCTGTAAACAAATAAAATTCAGATTTTTGAAGGCCAGAAAGGAAAAATACAATCATCTAGTCTGATCTCCTGCATAACATATCTTATATAATTTCACCTAGTAATTCCTGCACTGAGCCCAAATAAGGGTAGGAATATCCTCTTTCCAAGAATTTGTAGACAAACCAGTTTGGGATATCAGGCTTTGTAATAATATAAACTTCTTGCTATTTCCTTTTACTTTCATTATCTTAAATTCTAATCCTAGTTCAGTTGAATTTAATGGTAAACTGAGTTCAACTGGCAATGGTTCAGACTTAGGCCTGGTCTACACTAACCCCCCAATTCGAACTAAGGTACGCAACTTCAGCTACGTGAATAACATAGCTGAAGTCGACGTACCTTAGTTCGAACTTACCGCGGTCCAGACGTGGCAGGCAGGCTCCCCCGTCGACTCCGTATACTCCTTGCGCCGAGCAGGATTACCTGAGTCGACGGGGAGCACTTCTGGGTTCGATGTATCGCATCCAGACAAGACGCGATACATCGAACCCAGAAGTTCGATTGCCTGCCGCTGAACCAGCGTGTAAGTATAGACAAGCCCTGAGAGACTAAAGACCAAGTGGAGCAGAGTAAGCAGAAGAACAAGTCTCCCCAAGGTTTCACCAATCTGTATCAACTGAGTTGTGGCATCCACAGCTAGGGGGTCTCTCGGTCTATTCAGCCTAGTACCCTTGGCACTAACAACTGGTCATCTGACTTTTGATGTGGACATCTGGAGTGAAATCCTAGCCCCAGTGGGAAATCCCCTCCCAATGAGAGTTTAGCCATTGACTTTAATGAGGTCAGGATTTCAGACATGTTCACTAGGAACTGGATTGAGAACACCAACTCATATCTGTTAGGCTAGCAAACTGCCATATCATAGTAACAGCTTTCAGTTGAAAAGTTTCATGTCCCATTATTTCTCAGCAAACACTGAGCATACATGAATCCAAGATGGCCTTCAAAGTTTTAAATGTCAGACTAGATCATCTAGTCTGACCAACTATATACCACAGTCTATTAAATTTCACCCCAAAACAACGAGGAGTCCTTGTGGCACCTTAGACTAACAAATGTATTTGGGCATCAGTTTTCGTGGGCTAAGACCCACTTCATCAGATGCATGGAGTGAAAAATACAGTAAGCAGTATATAGATCACAGCATTTTCATGTGCTGTGATCTATATACTGCTTACTGATTTCATATAACATGTCTGAAATCCTGACCTCATTAAAGTCAATGGCTAAACTCTCATTGGGAGGGGATTTCCCACTGGGGCTAGGATTTCACTCCAGATGTCCACATCAAAAGTCAGATGACCAGTTGTTAGTGCCAAGGGTACTAGGCTGAATAGACCGAGAGACCCCCTAGCTGTGGATGCCACAACTCAGTTGATACAGATTGGTGAAACCTTGGGGAGACTTGTTCTTCTGCTTACTCTGCTCCACTTGGTCTTTAGTCTCTCAGGGCTTGTCTATACTTACACGCTGGTTCAGCGGTAGGCAATCGAACTTCTGGGTTCGATGTATCGCATCTTGTCTGGATTTTCATGTGCTGTGATATATATACTGCTTACTGTATTTTTCACTCCATGCATCTGATGAAGTGGGTTTTAGCACACCAAAGCTTATGCCCAAATACATTTGTTAGTCTAAGGTGCCACAAGTACTCCTTGTTGTTTTTGCTGATAACACAGACAATGTGCCATAATACACTTTAGCTCTTGGAGCTGCATACACATCTAAAGAGTGTGTGGTATGACTAGACATCATTTTTCACCCAGTAAAAATACATAATATTTAATGTATATGACCCAAATGTAAAGCTATGTAGATATTACAGCGATGGGGTACAGTACAAATGATTTAGCCAGACAAAATAAGTGTGCTTTGTTAATCTCTTGCAGCATTCTGATCAGCTCAGTCATCCCTCACCTTACCCAGGCCCTCTCCCTACATCTAGGCTTTCCCTTGCAGGTATTAAGCCTATAGACACGAGTCCCAATCCAACAGATTTCTTCAGTTCTATCAGTTTAGTCCTCCTCCCTAGGTAGTTGCAGGATGTATTACAGAGAGCAGCGGTCTCCAGAGCAGAGCTATTAGCTTTTCTTGTGAGGCATCTGGAAGTCACACATCCTGCCATGACCTATTAGGGCATAGGCTGGAGGCAGAGAGAGAAGCAAGCTTGCAGGTCAAGATGTTTCAAGGAGCAGAACTCTGCTCTAGAGGCAGCTCCTCCATAAGGTTAGCTTCTTGTGGATTGTCAGAACAGAGTACCTGTCTGAGGGACCTAAGGGGGCCTTGTCAGGCTTGAAGTCCTACTAGGAAAGGTTAAAACTCCCAGGAAACCTTGGAGGCATAATTGACATTCCCTCAATCCCCCATTTTCTCCCACTTTACTGCTCACCCCATATATAACTGGTCACTGTCTCTCTCTCACTCTCTGACACTTACACAATTTTTTCCCTTTCCCCTTGCACCTCCTATGGCTCCCTTCTCTTCCCTCATTACCCACTGCCTAAGAGGAGAAAAAGTCTAGATACTCCTCCACGACAAACCTATGGGTCATCAGAAAAATGTATGGTGTATACTTGCGTTACACTAGAAAGTTTTAACCTAAATACCTAGAATTAATTTTGAGTCAATACAATTAAGAGTGTTGAGACTGGAAAATTCATTGTGCTATAGCAGGAAACTATAATTATAATTTCTAAAGGAAACTGATCTTACTTGCATGGAAAAAAAAAGCAAAGCAGGTCCAGAGCAAATAGGAGTTAGCAACTATTGTCAGATAACACATGATCTATGATAACATATGAGACTGAAAGCTTCTAAGGCAAGAGCCAGAATCTTGGATTATTAAAAACATATGATAAATAAACTAAATATTAAACCAATAGTAAATTAAGTAATTTACTATAAAATTTTAAGTATTAGGTTTGCAGGTGGTTATACCTATTGTGAATTACAAGAGACATCAGAAGCAGTTTTGAATTAACAACTATATACCCTGGGTTGGTGTGAGACATTTGTATTTGTGGGATAAAGAAAAAGGCTTAACTGTGAATTATTGTCTTTTGAATCATACTGATATTTCAGTAATTAAGTAATTGTTTAAGTTTATAACTTTAGAATTATTTTTGGCTTAACGTTTACTAACAGTCATGTAATTTTGAGTTGACTGATGCATTGATAAGGATTTGTGTTAAGGATCCATAGAGCCATACTAGTATGTAAATCACTTCCTTAGAGTAGTAAGAATTTATTATGATTGAATCTATTACTTCTTAGTAAAGTTTTAACAGCCTGTTAAATTCCTTCATTTAAATTTTGTACTCCATAACATGTATCCAACTTTTATTTCACTTTCCGTAAATTCCTAATTACATTTACATTCCATTTTGATTAAGAAAACTGATACATTTATAAGAATTCTCAATTCGGTACATTAACAAAACCCAAAATTCAATCAACTTATGAGAAGCCTGATTAATTACAATTACTTAACTATTTCATACTGTATTTATCTTAATTGTCTCACTTTACAATACTGCACATTCTAGTATGGTGATTTTATAGTAGTATTTAAAATAAACATTCTTCTAGTGCACAGATAACCACTCTGGTACTGTTGCTTACAGATGATGTATGCTGTCAGTGAAATAAATAGTTTAGCAATGAATGGAGTGAAGCAAGACCTAGTTTTCATTAACACCACATTGCAATATCTTTATAGGTTACAACCTGCAAGCAACAAGCAAGGCTGGAAACATAGCAGTATGTTATAGGGATGAGTTAGACTTTGTGCAAAGGATCCAAGGAACTGAACAGCTGCATTTCATGTAAGTGATTTTTAAGATTCAAATCTCTCTCAAACAGCATTTGTGCAATAGAACAGAAAACATTTCTGCTTCATTATTTGTCAGAAATTTAAATGTGATTAGTTATGCTTGAGTACCAGCCATCACTTCTCAGAGAAGAGCCCCAAGAGCATCAGTAGCAGGCTCAAAGGTAGTTTACCGGTACTGGGAAAAGGCCACCTAAGGCTCTCTTCAATCAGAATGGTAACCCTGCTGAGTTGGAGTAGACGTGCAAGTAACCGCCAATAACAAGAAAATTTATGGTCATTCTCTCTCTCTTCCTCCCCCACACCCCCTTCTTCTGCTATATTTTTAGTGCTTTTCAAAAAAAAGTCTAGGAGTTGCTGATTGCAATTCTGGAGTGAAATATATTTACTCATTTCAAAGAATCATTCTGCCAATTGATTATTGTTTTATAATCACTGAATTCTACTAATTTCTGATGCATTCTTCCCAGGTTGAGTCTCCAGATGGATTAGAGCTGGCTATGCTGGGTTTCTGCCACCCCTCTTGCCCCTGCAGAAACCTTCAATGCAAGGGAAATGTGGGCAGCATGCCCCAGAAAAAGAGATGTGACGTGCTCCTGACTGGCAATTCCCAGCAGCCTGACCTATTCCTGGGGGGTGTAGTCGGGTGGGTCCAAATTAGGGTCGCCCTCAGAAAGTAAGGGGTGTGAGAGGAAATAGAGGGGCTGAGGCAGGAGGAGAGGATGCAGAAAGGAAAGAAGAGACTAAAAATGTTAAGAGCAGTTGTACCGAGTCTGTAGAGCACTAAACATTCCCAAGCTGGAGATAAGTAGCCTTTGTAGCGTACAGCTAGTCAGCTTCTTTCAAGTGGGGCAAATCCTTGGTTGCACCGAATTCAACGTGAGCTTTCCTGTTGATTTCAATGGGACCAGAAAGTGGTCCTGTGTGTTCAAAAAGATTTTCTTGTTCTCCAAGCCTGTTCTATCAATTCAAATATTCCCTGAGTTCATGCTAAAGGTGGTTGCGGCAACATATACATGCACCCAAAGAAAAGGAAAAATATATTTCCAAATATGTATATTTAGTAATTGATGTTAAGTTTAGTAAATAATTTTCACCATCTACAAGTAAAATTAGTAATGTTTATTCCTCTAAATCATATTTTAGACACCTATAGCAATTTCTGAGGATCTCCGTGATTTATGAGCATTAGTAAATGAAGACTGAACACCTCATGAGGTACAGAAGAATTGTTTTATAGATGAGGAAACCAAGGCACAGAGAGGCACCATGGTCCCAAATATTAGATCATGACAGAGTCAAGAACAGAACCAAGATCTCCTGACTCCCACTCCTGTGCTTTAATCACAAGACCACCCTTTCCTCCCGGTTAGTAATAGCAGCCTTTTGTTTATATTAAACTAAACAATTCAGTTACCCATTAATGTACTTACTTTATTTATGGCACTTACAGGATTTTTTTATAGTTTTATTGATTAAAATTTACTAAGTAATTTCCTGAAATATTACTACTTAATAAAGTAGTAATTGCTTTACTGAGAATTTTTTTTTCTGTTAGTATAAGCCTGATGTTCTTTACTGACTTATGCCTGAGAGGCAGTATATAACTGGATTGGTTTGGGTTGAGAGTTCACCTCAGGAGTCTGTGAGGAGAGCAGATATGATGATATAAACATTTTTAGTTTAGAATCTTTAAGGAAGACTTTTTTTTTTAAATCAAAGAAAGTTTTTATCCAACATTCAATTTTCAGTGTTTTTTAATCGGTTTTTACTTTTTTCTAATACTTAATTTTAGGGCAAGTGGCAAAAATGAAAACATTCATTTTAAGGAGGAATTAATTCTGACACCCTAATAGCAATCATTTAAATGTCAACATACTTATTGTTTTGCTAATCAAGCACATGAGAAAGGAAAGGCATGATCTCATACTGAAGATTATGCATAATTGACTGAGTTTCATTTCATTTTGGCATCATGTGTAGGTGGAGCTTGGGATAGTACCACCATTTTTCTCTACAATGTGCTCCTATCCCTCCTCATCATCACTACTACTCCCCACTCTCAGGATTGTTGTTCAGTGTCTTGTTTCATGTTCATTTGTTTTATCTTATTTAGATAGTAAACTCTTTCAAAAAGAGGCAACATGCCTCATCTATGCCTGATCATTCAAATTCTTATTCTCAGGGGACCTAACTTTAGCTGAAGGGAACTGTGCATTGATTGCAATAGGAAGTGGTTTCAGCCAATGTGAGGTAACACAGACATCAATAGGACGACTCACGTGAATAAGAATTTCTAGGATTGGGCCAACTGGCTGCTATGTAAATTAACTGACTACATTAATGTAAATAAATATATATATTTAAATAAAGTGAAAAACTTAAGGGAAAATTTGATCCCTAAAAGACAGTATTAAGGACAACTGCATCAAAGAACCCTACCTTGGTGTATCCGGTCAGCTCAAAGGGCCAGTGGCTAACCACAGATTTTATTTTAGATGTATTTCTTTATGTCACCAAATATAAACAATTTAGTGTGGACACAGATGGGTGGAAGACAGCAGAGAAGAAGAAAGTAGTGATAGCTGCAATGGTACACAATCCCACGCAGTATTGTTAATGGGTCCGATTGTCCACTGCGCGATGCTAGTTTTATGTTGATGTAATTTCTTGGATTTCAGTGACTTACAGTGTCATGATGTACAGATGAGTCAGACATCATTCGAGTCGGGGCCCTTCTCTTTGTTTCTTCTATAGCCTTCCTTCTCCTCTCAATCTGAGGTTTGTGCAGACCACTGAAAAGCAGGACAGGTTCTGCCTACTCTGGACCAGCTATCTTTGACAAACAGGACCCACCAAAGTCCACCTGACAGTCACAATAAATGTCTACTGTGTAATAAGCACACCTGAGATGTTGACTGTTTGCATGGAGTTAGAAAAATATTTGTATTGTACAATTTTCTTTGGAAAAAAAAAATAAAGTTTGGGGATTTTTTTTTGCCCAAAGTTCCAAAATATTTTAAGAAACTGCTCTGGGCGTTATCCACTTTTTATGAGTTTTAAAACTAATTGTCCAGTTGTGTTTTATGACTAAAATGCCCGGACACAGGTAGATGCAAAATCATTAACAAATGCAAACTGAAAGTCAGTGACGGTGGTTGAGGCTCAGATAGATGAACTATATTAAGTACCCACTTCCTCACTGGTTCCCAAAACCTAGGATCTAGTGTTCAACTGGATTTTCACTAAAGTACAAAACAGATTTTTTTCTCTCACCAGCAAATCTGAAAAAAAATCATATTAGGTCGAACTAATTTTATCTTGACAAAAACAAATTCAATTAACGGAAATGTTGAAATAGTAATTTTGAATTCATTTTTTTTTAAATTGGAATTTGTTTTTAACCAAAACAATTCACTAAAATCTACAACAAATTGTTGAAACATTTTGGTGTTGTCTAATCTGCATTTTTCACCTAAAAAAGTTTTCTATGAAAATTTTCACCCAGCTCTAGTTAGACAGAAAGATGTTATGTACTTAATTAAAGTACATTACACATTGATCAACGTATTCAATGCTTGGTTCATCTGAAATTGCCATAGTATAAAGTGCAATTTGATTTATTCAGTCACTTGTGCTGCTGAATGGTTTAGGTACTATGGAGAAAATGAACACAAAATCATATATGCCTCTTTAAACTGAGGAGGGCAGTCACGAGTTTTTCTGCTCTTGGATCACTGCTGTGCAACATCTAATATGTACTGCCAGTACCATCCATATAATGCCTCTAAAATTCAGGTTAGTTTATAAAAGGGTGAATGCGCCTTCTGGGGAGGAATAACAGTGGAAAATCTGAAATTTAGTGTTCAACCAAATAAGCATCAAGTAAGCACTGAGTTAATGAAGATTTCACAAAAACACTTTTAGATCAATGACTATGATGATCTTCAGTTTGACATTTGTCTGTGCTCCTTGTGCACCTATTTCACTTTATAATGGTCCTTGGGAGACTTTCGTTAATTATTTGATTATAAAGTCATTTAAAAAATAAAATATGCTCACATGGCTAAGTAGTAAAAGTTTAATTTAAAAGCAGCAGACCATGACATAATTTTAGTTTAAAATTAACCTCCTGGGCTGAGGCTAATTAAACTAACTTCTGGGTCACAATGTACACACTTCACTACTTAAAAATACTACTAAAAATTATAAATAGCTTAACACATTTTGCCTCTAGGCGGTTATATTTTATATAGAAGAGCTCTGTTTATCAGAAGAGATTCACAGCATTCTGTGGTCTATTTGTCAGACAAGGTCCCTAAGAGTGGCTAATCTAATCTTTCAGTAACTGTTCGTCTCTGGAAGCCACCTTCTCCTATGGACTCTGAGCCACAGGGCAGAATGGAGGTGGGGAAATAAGGGGCCCCATTCTTCATGATCTTGCATGTTGTGTAATCATTAACACCAGCACAAAGTGAATGCAAAGTGGGTGTAAAATGCTACAAAATTAGAATGCTAATGTTTTACGTCTGCTTTGCACAGATATCAGTGATTACACAAGGCACACTTGCACACACACAGAAAGGCCATCAGGCCCAGTGTCTCTATTTTTGTTGTCCTTTCCACTGGATTCAACAGGGCCCTTGCATGACTGGGAAAGGAAATTAAAAAAAAAAAACCACAGAGCCAAATTAAGTGATATAGAGCAACACTAAAATACATGGTGGTGCAATAGTGAAGTATATAGAGTATTATTTTTCTATGGCCAAAAAGGAAGCTGAAATTACAATTTTTGCACTGTAGTGCACGAATGAGGCCTATCTATTGTGTTGTACACATTGCAGATGCATGGTAATTATGGAGATGCTTGGTCATGACTCCATAATTAAAGTTCTGTTCTGAAATGTGTTTCAAGTAGGGCACACATTTCTGCTTCTCTATATGCATATCGCCTTTTAATATGAAATATAAATGAATTGTTAGTTTCTATGCCCTTCACATTTTCTTTGCAGTTTATGTTTGCTTTCTTTCATACATTTTTGGTGTAAAGCATTTCAGACTGACCTGTGTCCAAAGTTTATACTTGGAAATCTATCATTTTTGTTGACTGATATCTTTCAAAACATTTTTTCTGCACAAAAATTATTCCTCCCCCATTTTACCAATATCACAACAGCCATACCTCTGACTCCCCCTTTACCAAATTACCTTCCACCACCATGCCAAACTCCCACACAAACTTACTGGACCGGGAGCACACCCATATGCAAAACTCTAGCAAATATCTAATGTATATAAAATTTGTAGAAAAAATTAACGTATAAATTTAAATATCTAAATCTAGAAATAAAAAAGACAAAGCAAAAGGAGGAGAGGGCAGTGGAGGGAGTGGGAGACTCCAGCATTTCGTTTTCTTTCCCAAAGTATTTCATTATTTTTCCATCCTAGAATCAGCAGTTCATTCCAACCTACCCTGCTTACAAATCCACTTCTTGCCTACTCCCACTTCATTGCAAAAAAGAGAAATATCCAGCCAACATCTTGGTTGGGATAGAAAGCACTGTATATTTTTGCAGTGACATTATTAAAATCTACAGTAGTGATGTAGTTAAAGGGGAGGAAGGACTACAATCAGGAGGTAAGGGGCAGTTTAAGGTTCTATTTTTCTCCTCCAGCCCCCACTTTGCTCTCCTCTCCCCTAACTTCTTAAGAAACTGACTTAAGATCTTATATCCAAAAATGTAAGAGCCTACACCAAAATTTAGATTCAAAGCTGCTCTTCCCAAGTACCAGCTGGGTTTGGAGGTGAAATATGAATCCACCATTTCCAAGTCCTACTCTTAGCATCCCAAACCTTCAGAAATACACCCATTTTTTCCTTCTTCTCCAATCCCTCCCCTGAAAAACCACCCTCCTCAGCCCATATCACTGAAGGAAAAATCTGCAACATCCTAGGAGGTCCTGAGTTTTTCCCTCTACCACCCAGTCCCCATTATTCAGTTCATCCCCTCCTCCGCACACCATTCCAGTTTTCCCAGGAACAAAAACCCAAATCTCTCCTCAAAGGTTGCTTTGCTCCCCAACTCCTTCTGAGAAAGCTACAGGTATTAGGGAACACGTTATATAATAAAATACCAACAACTTTTCTTTGTACTATAATTGCCATAATTATGAGCCCCAAGGGCCACAGGCTGGACACCCTTGCTCTATAGCATATAGAGTAGTAAAATAATGATCATTTTAACCCTAACCAAATATATTTTCTCCTCCGGAGGTTTTTAAGGCCTGGCTTGACAAAGCCCTGGCTGGGATGATTTAGTTGGAGTTGGCCCTGCTTTGAGCAAGGGGTTGGACTAGATGACCTCCTGACGTCTCTTCCAATCCTAATCTTCTATGATTCTATGACAGGTTTCAGAGTAGCAGCCGTGTTAGTCTGTATCTGCAAAAAGAAGAACGGGAG